AAATATATTGTATAAAAGAAATATATGCTATAGACGACATAGATGACATAGAAGACATATATGATTTCTTAGGGATCAATGTCATCCTTTAGATCATTATCATCCATGTTTTTTTTTTCGTTTAACAATATGTACTCGGGTATAGTGAAGGTTTCTGCATATTTTATTATATAAATATTAGCAGAAGACTTATATCACATATGATCTAAATATGTACTCAGATATAGTATAACCTTTGCATAAGACTTATCCTTCCTAAATATATACCTAGATATGATATGAAGATTTTTTTAGAAATATTGGTATTCTTTAAGATAAGAGTAACTTTAGAATAATTATATAAAATATTAGAAGAAGCTTCTTAACAATATGTTAAGATGTATTCAGGTATATCATTCAGGATAGGTAAGTGTAGATTTTTTTTATATAAATACTATCACTTGTCTACCCTATCACTAGTATAGCAAGTTAACAAGCAAATTGCAAAAAGAAAACAAAATAATATATATTCAGAAAGTAAGTTTTTTGCATAATCTATTATATAAATATTGGCAGAAGACTTATTCTTAATACTCAGGTATAACATGAAGGCTTCTGCAGAATTATTATATAAAATATTGGCAGAAGTCTTCACTTTTCTAGATATGTATTTAGTATAGTATAAATGGACTGGCTATGAAAATACATATTGCATCTCTAACTTTGAATGCAAAATTGACATACATATATTAACACAATAGTTAGGTTACAGGATGACACACTTTTAGCAATCATTTAGTTTTAGCCAATACTATTCCATGATTTTAACTAGATCTTTGAACATAATAATTCAACATTCAAGCTGGTAAACTAATAGGATCCTCTCTGATATTCTAGCAGTTTCTCACTAGTTCTATGACAGCTTTAGTATACTATCAAGTTATTACCATAGCATCAAGCTGGATTTTCAAATCATATGCTCTAAAGATCAGCCAGAATTAAGACATAGTGTTGACCAAAATTAATCACAAATTTACTGTACCACCTGTCACCTTTTTTTACACTATTTCAGCATCTAGAAAGGCAACCAAATAGGCGCAAATTCTTAATATTGAACTAGTATATAATCTAGCATAGAGGGTCAGCACCTTCATTATAGAACCAGGCATTCAAAGAAAACTGAAAAACCTAAATTAATAATATAGATTTTATTATATAAATAAATTAGAAACAAGAAGAAAACAATCACTATTAGATCATGATATCACCATTAAATTAAAATACTACCATTTACTATTAGACTATGAAGTTGCCATCATATTATATAGAAAAAAGTTAAAAGAATGCTATAAATATAAAGAAGATACCCATAGGTAGGTTATGAAGTCACTATTAAATTATGGATAATAGGTTATAGAATTACCGCAGGACCCTAGACAATTATATTTAATCTGATATGTATAAAATGAGGTAAATTTTAAAAAAAAAATTTAAAAAGTGGTATGTAAAAAATGGGTTTTTTAGAAAAATGTAGAGGTAAAATGAGGTAACAAAAAAATAGTGGTAGAATTTTTTATGATTAAATTTTCGTGATTTTTAAGATGTATATTATTAATTGGATAAATTTTCACATTATATATGGTAGATTATTTATTGCATTTATTGTAATTAGTCAATTTATTACAATATAAAAATTCAATTGTTGTCACGTTGTCATATTAATAAAGTGAAAAGAAAAAAAAATTAAAAATTTTTTGTTTAATATGACAACATATATAATTTGTTTTACATAAAAAAATATTTTGTTAATAAAATAAAATATATAGAAATAACACTTTTAAAATATCCAAAAGTTAGAAAAGTTATTGATTCAAAATCTGTAATATATATATATGGTAAAAAAGTTCATCTTGATAGAAACTATGATCCAGATCTTCTTGACCGTCACATTAAAAAAATATGTAAAAGTAATGATGGAAACTCTCAAATTACACAATTTTTTTCAGAACAAAATTCAGAAGCTTCAAAAAAAGAATACTTTGTATTGGATTAAATGATGAAAAAGTTAAACTATATCTCTGTCGTGTTGATTTTATGATCACATTTGGTAATGCATCACCTCCAGAAGTTGTAACACAAGAATTGTTTGATGACAAAATTAAATCATCGTTTCATTGGAAAGATTTAAACAAAAAAGAAAATGATCAACTTTTAGATACTTTATGATCACAAGCCAAGTGGATAAATGATAGCACAACTTTTTGCGTTAGAAGTACTGAATGTTCAACATATATTAATAGAATTAACGAAGTTTGTAGGTAATGTCTTGATTTGAAAAAATTAAAGGTTTTTTTGGTAATTAAATTTTTTTATAAATTATGCTTTATAATATATATTTATTAATAATTTATTATTAAATAGAATGCAGAAATACATATCTTTAGTTCTTTATAAAAATTCTCCATTTTATTAATATTGTAAAAATGTAAATGTTATGGAATTGTTAGGTTACTTTAATGATCTAGAAGATTGTATTCCCAAATTTTGGAATCAACTAGCAAGAATGGAATAAGCCAATACCTTTAAAGATAAACAAATTTTTTCTGGATTATGTGAAATTTTTGTGGAAATGACAAATTGTATTAATGAAGGAAAAGGACTTCAAAATATTAGATATCCTGAATAGTTTTCCAATTTTTTAACTATTTTAGCAAGTAGTAGTCCACAAACATATGCTATTTTTTAAAAAAATCTTGCAGAAAGAACAATTAAAAATATCCAGTAAATAATTTGTTATATATGTATTGTAAAATTTTAACTTTAATTTATTTTTAATTTAGTGTACAACATGCTCAATCAGATTTAGCAATTGATGATCTGTCAATATGTTTTGAAAATATGGCTAAATTTAGAAAATTTCTAATTAGCATTAATTATGATGGACTAATTGCAGCATCAACAGATAACACAAAACTTGAAGAAAAATTACGTTACTCTACAAGCTTGGGCGCAATTCTTGGGTCTACATTGCCATTACAAGAAACTTCAGTATCTTCTTATAACGAAATTGATACTATTGTAAAAAAGATTCAAACTAATAATATAATAGCTAAATATGTTTGTGTATACATTTTACAAGTTCTTGTTCCTAAAGTACCACTATTTGTACTTGAAATTATTCTAAATAATAGTGAAAATATATCTGATGTATATGAAATTCACAATCAAGTTTTAGAATTTGCCACCCATTTTAAAATTCTATATTATCAATTGGAGCTGATGACGCATCAGTAGAAATTAAAGCACAAAAATGTATTATGTAAACTAATACTGAAACAAAGCTTGAATTTACTGACGAATTATACAGTATGTAATTTATTTATTTGTGTAATAAATTCTTTGTCTTTATTATTAATGACTTTTTATTTAGATATCAAATTACATTATCTGTAATTCTGAATATTAGTCCTATTATTTATATTTCAGATCTGAAGCATGCGAAAAAAAATGGGCAAAATAGTATTTTTAGTGACGCTTGAATGCTAACTTTTGGAAATAATTTCTTGAGTTTTGGTCATGAGTTAGAATTGTCTAAATCACCAAACTCTGCTTTATATTATGCAGATATTTTAAATGTTGATAAACAAGATGATGAGACTGCATATCAGCTTTTTTCTCATGAATTTTTATATGAAGTATCTCAAACTTTAAATTCTGATTCTAAAAACAAGGGATTATTAATTTATTTGTTCATTATTGGTAAGTTAAAATTAATTTATTTATATTTAATTTCGTAATAAAAATTAATTTATTAATTATTAAATTATTATTATTTTATTATTTTGAAAGGAGAGTTGATAGATTCATATCTTAATTGAGTGTTTCTAATCATGAAAAAATCAAAATAGTTATAATGGATAGTTTTTTTCTAAAAATGTGAAAACAATTTATTCAAGATGCAGCAAATAAATATAAAGGAATTTTTTCAAATGATCATAATTTTTTAGCATATCAAACTTATGAAATATTGTCTTTTCTTGTTGATTCAATGATAATAGTATTATATATACAACTTTAAATTATTTATTATTAAATTAGATAAATAATAATAATAATTTTATTATTACAGATTCTACTTACTATAGCATATTGAGAATACTATAATTCAATTCTATTATTACCTTAGATGTACGGTAGTGAAGCATATAAACACTTTTTTTGGAATGGCTTAGCAACATTTACCAGATTTTACATATACTGATTTAATATATTTAATTTCTAAAATTCGTCATATTACAAATGCTTATTATAATTTCACAATTGTTAATCCAAATTCAGAATATAAAACTTCTTGAGTTGATTAGTTTATTTAATAATTTCAGTATTTTATTATAATTAATATCTAATTTTTATATTAAAAAATTTCAATAGGTTATATTTGTGATTATTTTGAAGGAAATGTCAACGATCTAAATTCAAATTTAAAAATTTGGCCTACAGATAATGAAATCAGAGTTCTTATTAATGATACATATAAAGAAGCAAATGCTTTAGCAAAGTGTATTTTTATGGTAGTTACATTAAATTCTGAATTATTATTGTTATCTTTAACTAATTTCTTAACAAGTGACGAAATAATACTACTGATTGAAGAAAATTTAACAAAAGAATTTCAAGATAGAGAGAAGGTTTTAACAGAAATTGTTGAAATGATAGGAAATGTTGCAAGTTTAAATTTACGAAATGATATAGATAAGGATTTGATATATGCTCGTGAGCAGATAACAAATTTATCTAATAATACAAATTTGAAACAAATTCACAATAATAATATTAATATATTAAATAACAATGGCGATATAATTTTTGATTTACTACATCAATGCTAAAAATATCACAAAGCTTATACTTTAAAAAAAATGATTCAATCACAATTTCAAGAAAGAGATCACTATAATTCATCGGGAATTAATCCATCTATTGCTAGCAAAATGGTTGCATAAATTACTAATAATAATAATAATTCAAGGTTACCTAAAGCATGATTAGAATGATAGAATATTAGAAAAAGATTTGAAAATGTTAATGAAATGTTAAAAAATTCGTGAGAATTACAATTACCAAATTACAGTAAGTATAATTAATAAATTAATTTTATTGATTTTTACTAATAATTAATTAAATATTTTATAGTTTTAGATTGTGTTCCTTCAATTTGTATGGTAAATATTTCTTCAATTTATCTAGCATAAAAGTGAGGATTTGCATTAGTATTAATTAATAGGAAAATATGTCTTGTACAAATTCTTGCAATTTATTATCATACATCAACTGGAAATAATCATTCATATACTAAAGAACCTGTAAATGAAGTTAATCTAATCATATTTGTACAGACCCCGGCGAAAGTAATAACACTTAGTTTTTTAATAATTTGTGCGTAATTTTATAATAAAAAATCAAAAAAAAATTTTATTTTCTGAAAGACCGACCAAAATTACATATATTTTATTAATTA